GAGAGAGAGAGAGAGAGAGAAGAGAGAGAGAGAGAGAGAAAAAAGGGGGAAAAAACGACGCCAATTCGACGACGATCGGTCGTCGTTGCCTGGAGGGCAAACTGGTTTGGATATCGCTTTCGAAACTGCTCGACAAATAAGACTTGTTAATCTTCCGCTATCGGGCTGGAATATCGCTCTATCGAGATCCCGTATTTTATTCCATTCTTACCCTTCACCGGTGGGAGCAAGATTGGCCAAGCGTTTTTTATGCATGGCCCCAGTTTAAGTAATGGAATTCGAAATTTCCTTGCTTTAAGGATAAGCTTCGTACAGACGAAGAATAGACGAGGCAAATGAAGGAGGGATATTTCAGTTTTATCCATCCACGTTGTAAGTCGTAATTTTCCATTCGCTTTGGATATTTTTATTTCTAATTTTTATTTCTGGTGTAAAGTAATGGTAAATATAGATTCTTCTATTCCGTTCCACGAGTTCTTACAGCAACGTCATTAATCTTATTTGCGATTCGATGAAAATTTGATCCGTGGATTCGAATAAATATCGTATGATAATATCGTAGGAATAATTAATTTCGAAAGGAAGAAGAGGGTAAAGAGAAGATCGATAGAAGGGTTAATCACGGTTCACCGTGTCCCCACTGTGTTTAAAAATAGCGAGAAAAATAAACAATCTTTAAACGGGATTCGATCGAAGACGAACCTGACTCTTCATCGATATTCTATCTCTTCCATTCGAATATTCACGTTCGAGAAGAAGATCGTGTCATGATACGACAAAACACTGTTCCAGTTGTTTCGTTGCATTTTACGTTGCGACTAATTAAATTCGTGTATCTTTATCGAGGGTTCCAGTACCGAAATTTTTCCTCGTTTCTCGTTTATGACGTCTTACTCCCGAAACTCTTATCCGACTCGCAGAGATTCCACACTCGTTCAAATTTCGAAGAATCAATTCGCGACGCTTCCAATGATAATAATTCGAAAATACGCGATCGAACGAGAATTCGAAATATGTAAAAATTGCTTGATAAAACAATCCAACTCGATATATAGACTCTGCAACGGTTCCGAGTATGTATTCTTTTTTTTTTTTTTTTTTCGAATTTTTTCGATATTACAGTAAACGATCGGATTAACGATCTAAGGTTTCCAAGTTGGATCTAAGGATCCAAGTTTGGTTTGGAGGAGAAATCCAGGAGGTGGTGTTTTCGTTGAGAAGGGTTGGAGGATTGCCAGCGAGAGTGGCATTAATTCTCGTGGCGGGATAAATTCTTCTCGCGTGAAGGAAACGAGACTACCCGAAATTGCCTTTAAATATCCTTTTACCGATCAAATTGCACGAATCGAGACCCGCTCTCTCTCTCTTTCCCTCTCTCTTTCCCTGCGCTTCGATTAACCGGTTCCCGCAAATGGAAAAGAAATGGAATTTCTGCATCGATAATGCCGAGCATTAAATCTCGATCGCGTATCGCGTTTAAATCGCGGCGAGAAGGATTCGATTTCGATCGATGATCCATCCTTCTTCGCGCTGAATTCTGTGGGATAAAGAAGGGGAGGAAAAAAAAAAAAAAAGAAAAGTATCATCTCCGAGAGAAGGAAAAACAGGAGACACTTTGATAAGAAAGCGAGACAAGGTTGGGGAGCAGGGTGAAGGGAGGAGTTGTAATCGAGCGAGTGGACTGGTGGCAGAGTCAGAATCGTCGAGATACAAACCGAGACGAGGCGGTGAAAGCAGTTGGAAGCGCGAGATACGCCAGCTCCTATCCAACAATGCCGCCATTCTGGAATAAATGCCGCCGATTTTCACCGAGATTCGGCCGTTTTCCCTCCCCACGAGTCGATGATTATTCCGTGCTTAAGCATCCGTAACAGCCGTGTCGTTGGCTTCTTTTCAGGGTCGATTTCTCGCAACAACCACTTGGAGTTTGATCGAACGGCAAGTAAAAGTGAAACGCCACGATCGAGTAGATAAAATAAACGGAGCAATACGGCCGAGATGTCGAGCGATACCCGAGTCAGTTTTTATCGCCTCGGCAATCGGTATCGTCTCGTCTCGACGAACTTTCAACGGCGCGTGAACGGCGGTTGCTCGATGCAATTTTGGTAAAAGCTGTTTCTTCTTGTATTCCAATTATCAAACAACCGTTACTCCGGCAAACAGCCGGGGGAAACTCGATTGGCCGAGCCACCGAGCTCTATTAAATTCGTGCTCGTGGCTTTATCGTGGCGAGCAAACGGCAAAAGAACGTGGAACGAGTTTTCCCGTCGAATTAAAAAGAAAAAAAGAAAAATAATAATCTTCCTCCCGTTATTCCAAAAGATTCCCGGTTATCGAGAACAACCATCGAATCTTGCAACCTCTCTTCTTTCTTCGTTCCTTCGGAAAGATAAACTCTCCTTCCTCTCCTTCCTCTCGAAGCCACGAAAGACGAAGAGAAGAGACTCGGTGAAATTGTATTCCTATCTGTGAGTATCATCGAGCCAATTCTCGCGATACAGTGGCTCTTCTCTTTTTTCCCGACAACGAATAAATCAGGATTCTTTCGAGATCGAGATTCACAGCCTTGATAAAATCGAGCCGCCAAGTTTGGCAGAGGGTATTCGATTTTCAGAGAAGAATCGTATATTAATCTCTCTCCTCGATCCCCTCGTTGCTTTATCCATCTATCTGTTTATTTCATTTCACGAATACACATCCGATTCGGAATGGAATAATTGGATCGAAAGATCGATCAAGCGCACGCAACACACACGTAGGCAGAAACCTAATAGAAGAGACTTGTGAATCATCGCGAGATTCGTAGGTATTTACGGGTGTTTACTTCACAGGCGTCGGTGAACTCGCGAAAGAAGCCAAGAAGGCAGGGCTTCCACTTCCTTTGCCGTCTCCAACAATGGCAAACAATTCCCGGCGACTGATAAAGGGGCAGCCACTTCGGTTGGCAGACGATCCTTGGCTGACGCGGCGCGCTTCCCTTCTCCCCCGCCCGCCTGCTAAACCGAAATGCGAGAAAAAGGGGCGCGAGATCCATTGACGCGGACAAACGAGTCGGTGGCCAAGCCAAGAGGGAAGAATACCGATGAAAAACCAACAGGCTGCCAGCCAGTTGCTCAATCTTTACCAATTCTGCAGGAGACGAAAAAAAGAAGAATCCCCCCTGAGCACCTTCCACAAGTGTCGAAATCCGTTTCGCCGCCATTCCATTCGAGGCGAATTTTAATCACTGTTACAATCTTGCTTGAGAAAAATGGCGTTAGAAGAAATGTCTACGTTGGGAAATAAAGTTCGATTTATCTCTTCGTACAACTTGATTCTTCTTAGACGATCGTCAAAAAAATTGCGTCCAATTCTCGAATGCCTCGAAGATTCTCGAACGGAAACGAATGAAGGGAGCGGAGAGAAGGGGATAAAAGTATCCGGATAATACCTCGCGAGAAGTGTTATGTCAATAAGAATCGACTGTCTTTTCGATTTGAATTTCGATCTCGAACAGAAGCGGAATGAAATTCGTCCGCTTTGAAATTCCAAATCGGACGGGAACAGACGGGACACGGACCAGACAGGCAGTCCGTCCTTACGAATTCCATCCTCTCCTCTCTCTCTCTCTCTCTCTTTCTCTCTTTCTTTCTCAATCGATGGTTCTCGGTTGCTGGAGCACGGATTTTCGATTCGCACCGCGAACTCTTCTCTTCTTCGGTTATCGAGCGTCTGAGGACGACGCGTTACGGCTCGTCAAGTCGGGACGGTCGTATGTTTATTTTGCACGAAATTATCGCGTGTTTATTTTTGCTCGAATACCGGCGTTCAACCGTCGAACGAGATTGTTTTTCCTTCTTCTCCGTTCCCTTCGCGCGGTTAATTTAACGAGTTTTAACCCTTTCGCTATAGTTGTTCTGCACAAGATGCCGCGTATCGTACGATATAACGATTGGATTGGAATATTATATTTCTCTAGGAAACGTAGCATCGATATTTCGTTTTTATCGTCAATTCTTTTTTTTTTTTTCAATAAACATCAAAGCAACTCGGGTCGCGTGAACACGACCGTCTTTCTCGAGCACCGTGCTTATATATAGCGAGAGAGCTTAATCGTGACGAAGGAAGAATTTTGAAGTAGAAGAATTTTCCGTGGAATCGTAAAAGTTTGATTTGCGGATCGACGAGCGCATAATTTTTTCGGTATTTTTCCGAATCGAAGGAAAAGTTTCGGCTATAATATATATGATGTAAAGTAAAGCGTGGTACTCACTTGTTCCACCCAAACGTTCGTCGTCATGATCTGGTTCTTCAGGTTCTGAAAAAGAAAGCAGAAAGGTGAAGATCGTGTTTCCAGAAGGCACTCTACAGTTTCGAGAGTTTCTAATTACCGGAAGGAGGGTAAGGATTTTTATCGAGTTTCGAGCGATAGGGAAGCGATAGTCGGGAAAAGGAGGAGCCTCTCGAGCCAATCGAGCAACCCTACAAATCAACTTACCGGTGTATACGCAACTTCGATATCTCGAAGCTCGTCGAGAGAAACAGAGAGAGAGAGAGAGAGAGAGAGAGAGAGAGAGAGAGAGAGAGAGAGAGAGAGAGAGAGAGAGAGAGTACGTCG